AAAAAAAAGAGTAGGCACAATATTACCTTACAGTTATACAACACAGCATTGTTCTACAATTATTTTGAATAAAGCGTTATCAAACGTGTAATTGCCATGTAATGTCTCATGCTATGGTTGCAGGTCCTTTGCTTTTCTACTTTTTTTCTTTCCGCTTTTCATTACCTTCCAAAACTGGAATCTTACTGGGCAGAATGCCGAGTGGTGAGAAGTTACTTTTCCTCTTCCCATTTGCCTACAATAAAAGCAACTTGATGTTGCGGGGTAGGACGTTGCCAGATGGTCTCCCCTGCCTAAGCACCTTTCGCATTTGTTGGTTTCCGTTACACGTTGCCTTCTTTGCGATAGGGTACTGTATTGCGTGATTTCCGTTGCCCAATGTTCCCATTACAAAAAAGGCAATTGTTTGGTGGTCTTGCCAGATTCCCAAGTCGAGGTTGCTTTGATTACCAGCTGGGCCAGGTTGCGGTGATGGCTCTCTTTGTCTTTCTTGTCTGGGCCTTTCTTCAGCTTCCATTGCCATTGTGTTCGCACCAAACTGATCTTGCGGCTCCATTTCGCGTTGTCTGAGTTCCATTCGATGTTGTCGATTGCCGATTTCGTGCACCGTGTCCTTTAGTCTTTTTTCTTTTCTTAATCCCAGAATTTCATCTTGTTTTCTTTTGCGATTCACTAGGTAGTGCAGGCGTCTATTTATCCTTGCAAAATTTGTGTCTTGGCTTCTTACATTTGCCTTTCGATTGACGGTAGCATTCCTTACCATGGTACTGGGGCTGGTGGGTCTGGCTCGGCAAAAATTTCGTGCACGTTTCCTTCCAGCGTTTGCTGTTGTTGCCGTTTAATTTCGTCTTCTCCTCTTGCCTCTTGCCTTTCCTGCTGCTGTTGATCCACTTCTTCATCTTCAAATTCAATGTCTTGTTGTGGGCCTTCAGCGATCTTTCATTCACTCGACTTTCCGTTTTTTTTATTTATCAATTATCTTATCATTTATCAAGCAAAATTATCAGTCAATGCGATTACACATAACATTAAAATTGTTCGTGGATGAATGAAAGAGACGGATCAAATTTTTGAATATGGTGAAGAGAAGTTTGAAAATAAGTTCAAAGAAGAAGAAAACTATAACAGCCGCTTGCAGCGACGGAAAAAGGCTCGTAAGTGAGACTCTTGGGCGATGTTTACATTCCCTTTGTGTGTTTCTGCGCATGCTGAGCATCTGCTCAGATAGATCGCGCTGATAGCTATAGAAAATGTCAGCGCTGCAAGTGTAGTTACTGTATAGAGCACATAAGATTTGTAAATATCGAGAATGTGTG